ACCTATAACCTATTCACCTACACACCCACAAACTAAACTCTATAAACTCTATATGTCTTCATCAAATCCAACAAGTGCTTCACTAATTTCATTCTCTTAGGATTCGGTGCACTTCCTTTGAACTCTTTTGTATCATGGTGATATTTTAAGATATTAATCTATGTTTTGATGTTGTTATTCTTATCCTTTGTGCTTTGGAATGATTTCACTACAACAAAAACATCAAATAGTGACCGAATTTTTGGTCACTAAATGACCAAAATCGGTCACTAACTAAAATAGTGACCGAAATAGTAACCAACCCAAATCGGTCACTCTTTCCTTGGTCGCTGATTTCAGTGACCGAATCGATGATCGATTCGATGACTCGAATCGGTGACCGAATCGGTGACCGAATCACTCACAACCAGTACCTTAGAGTTAGATATCGATACTCCAACCACTAAGCTACTAGGATTTTTTGATAATAATTTATAAATAAATTATATTTATATACGAATAAAAATATATATATCGGTGTGAATATATAAATATAAAATATATAAATACAAATACAAATATATTTATATGTTGGATGTGAGAGCGCTCACAAATTTATATAAATATACATACACATATATTTTAATATAAGAATTTTAATTAAATAATAGAAGAAAAAAAGATTAAATAAATAAATAAATAAATAAAAAATAAATAAAAACAAAGAAAACAATTATTTAATATCATTATATAAATAAATTAAAAAGATTATATTCTATCATTAAATTACAAATCCATGTAAAGAGACTCGCTTTTGAAAACTCACTCGACACACATTTTCACCCTCTAGCGTGGCCCGACATCGAACATATAAATATATAAATATATCAAAATATATAAATATATTTGTATTTATATATTTTATATTTATATATTTACACGGATATACATTTATTTGTATATAAATATAATTTATTTGTAAATTTTTATTAGAAAATTCTAACAGTTTAGTGGTTGAAGTATTAATATCTAACTTTAATGTACTTGGTTTTGAATCTTATTAGTGATAATTTTCTTAATCTCGTAAAAATAACTTTTTTAATAAGAGAAATTATATATTTTTGTGGTAAGAGGATGAGATTTTTAGGTTAAACTAAAATTAGGGCAACTAAGTGGTTGTTTTGGACTAAAACCCAAAAAATAAAAAATATATTTAAATAAAAGAAAAAATATATACTTTGGAATTTTTATTTTCAAATATTAGTTTTTTTAAGAAATTATTTTTAATTAAAATAATTAAAGTGATATATATATATATATATATATATATATATTAATTTTAATTTATTAATATTATCAAATTTTAGCTTCATGATTAAAAAAATACCAATAATTTAAATTTTATTAATTCTATAATTTTATATAATTATTATTATAAATTTAATTCTCCAATAACTAATAATATTATCACATTTATTAAATTAAAATTCTTTATTTTAATTAATTATTTTGATTTTTTTAAATAAAAACGATAAAACTTAAAATTACTTTCTAACTAAATCTTGACAGATTTATAGTTAATAGTATATTATATTATTATGTTTAATTAAATTTTAAAATAAGTTCATTTAATCTTTACACTTTTATAAAAATACTAATATAAACTTAAAATATTTATCTAATTATTAAATTATTTAAAATATTAATATAAATTTGAAATATCAATTCAATAATTAAAATAATTTTAATTTTTTTATAAAAACATTGAAATACATTTTGATTAACATAAAAGTAATATATATATATATATATATATATATATATATTAATAAAGAGACTAAATTAATAATTAATTTAATCATTGATAATATATATAAAAGAGACTAAATTAATAATTACTTTAATAATCGATTGAGTGATCGAATTAGTGACCAGATTCGGTGATTAATTTAATAATTAATTTTAATTTTTTTATTCACATACTAAATTAAAAAATAAAATCAAATAATTATATTACTAAATTATTTAATAAGTTAATAAACTATTTTTTAAAATTTTTATAATGTTATTAAAATTTTTATTAATTATTTTAAATTATTAAGTAGATTTATATTTAATATATTATTAAAATATTTTTAAAAAATATTTATATAAATAAAAAATGGTCACTAATTTATAGATTATTTGTTTAGCGACTGAAATTTTAGTCACTAAATATAAAAAGAGAAATCATTCACCGATTCAGTTACTATTAGTAACTGGATTTTTCGGTCACTAATTTCGATCGCTATTAATCATTTTTCTAGTAGTGACTGAATCGGTGACTGATTTGGTGACCGAATCAGTAACCGATTTCCGTGACTAAAATTGTAGTCACTAAATCAGTCACTAAATATAAAACGGGAAATCAGTCACTGATTCAGTTACTATCAGTGACTGAATTTTTCGGACTAATTTCGGTCACTATTAACCATTTTTCTAGTAGTGTTTATTCTTGATGTTTGAGGTATGATTGGAAAATATATCTTGAACCCTAGATCACGGTAAGAATATTTGTTACGTTAATTGCTAGGAATGGAATGAATGTATCAATTGCTTAAGACCCTAAACCTAATGCTGGAAAATCTCTTAATTGTGTGAGGAATCAACATTTATTAAGTTTTCTTATGAATTTCGTGTGTGAGGAATCAACATGGATGATTTGAGTAGGTGGCATCAACATTGTTAGGTTAATTGACGTTCTTAATTGACATAGTCATTACAAAAGAGGGATAAGGAAGGAAACCAATCCTAAGTGCCTTTAATTGATATTTTCTCAACAATTTACAGTTCTTTATCATTTAATTTCAATTCAACTCTTATTACAAAAACCCAATCTGTTTTAATCCACTTAGTAAGCATAATTGAGAATTTCCATTGAAACCGTTCCTCGTAGGATCGACTTTTATTTAATCAAAATACTATACTGCGATTGATAATTTTGGTACGCTTGCCAATAATTCAACAAGTATTTCTGGCACCGTTGCCGGGGAACAGTGTTCTTTTGAGAATTCTTTGTTTAGCTTATTAAGTATTTTATTTTTATTTTGTTTTATTTTATTTTTCAGTTTTATTTTGCTTAATTATTCCCGAACTTGAGTCGACATATTATCTACATCTTGTTCCATCAATTCTCGATCCACTTCAGCTAACAGTGATTCATCATTGTCTACCCCTCGAAGAAAATTGTGTAGAATGCAACATGTTAGGGCTATATTCGTCATTGTATCAAATGAATAATGAGGCTCTGTTCCACTATTATAGGAAATCTTTTCTTCAAAACTCCAAATGTTCTTTCAATTACATTTCTAAGAGACAAATGTCGATGGTTAAACAATTCTCGGGGGTTTTGTGGAGCTCGTCGAGAATACTCTTTAAGGTGGTATCTAATGCCTCAATAAGGGGTCATTATGTTTGCTCTTAACATAAATCCAGCTTCCCCCAAGTAGTATTTACCTATTTAAAATCATTGAAGTTATACCAATTAGAATATTTAAACTAGTTGACTATACACAAAATCCCCACGTTATAAATAATAAACCTTGTGGTATGATAAGACGATCCTCTCTCGTAAGAACATCCTTTAATATTCTTGAATCAGATGTTGTTCCTTCCCACCCTGCTAGAACATATGTGAATTTCATGTCGAAATCACAAGCTGCAAATACGTTTTGTGTTAGCCAATCTTTTCTTCCACGAAAACGAGGGGCATCGGATCTTGCGACTTTAACTCGAACATGAGTTCCATCTATTTCCCCTAAACAATCCTAATTGGTCAAAAAAATGTATTGTCATTAAAGTTTAGACAATCTATGTGTATGTTATATAGACACAAAGTTGGTGAGTAGATTACCTTAAAGTATGGGTAAAATCGATTGTTGTTTAATATATACGGACACACATCCCTTCCTGATGGTTGAACAATTAATTGTTCCTCCAACATTATTATCGCATTCACATGTTATGAAAATGTCGACTAACGGTTTCACCTGATCGATGAAAAAAAAAATGAAACGATTCGATTTTTAACGTTATGTCTGATAATATGGAGAAATTTAGCCACTTATTCTTCCACTGTTGATTGTAACTCGTCGTTTACTAATTCAGTTGCCCTTACTCGTTGATACAAGTTAATGAATTCCTCTGGTTCCATGCAAATAATGTCACGAGATTGTTCAGTATGAATAAGGTATGACATCAACTCGTGCCGATGACGTTCTTTTTTAGAAATAAAGTCCCTAATGTTACCGCTAATACAAGTTACTGTAGACAACATATTTAATCCATAGGCTATCAAACAAAGAATTGTCATCGCTCCTACTTCGCTTCGCTTTTTTATCTCACTTTGTATATGTGTAATTATATTTATATCCAAACCAGTATCTATATCGTCATTGTCTAAACCAATGACCTCGATATTTCTGTCATCATCTGCAAAATATATATATATATATATATATATATATATATATATATATATAATGTTTAATGGAAGTAATTCAAAATTGCCATCTACAAACCAAGTATCACAAAACCAAAATTTATTTACAAAACTACTAATAATTTTTTTCCTCTAATATTTTTACTCCTTTTTTAACAAATTCTCATTTTTATAAATTTTTTTCTTTTCTCAATTTTACATACTCCATTTGTTATCAAAATAATAAATTTATTTTTTAAATATAATTATATTTAACTTTTTTTTCCTTATTTAATTATGCATTAATAGTGTCTGTGATAATTTTTACTAAATTTTTTTCATGTACCTTAATGATTTTTTTCTTTTCAAGTATATATAAAAAAATTCAAAATTTCCATATAATAATTATAATTACAAAAATAGGGATTTTGGTTCCAGTTTTTTGTTCCAATTTTTGCTTCCATCATTTCCAATTTTTGCTTCCAAAATGCATACATGCAGTAGCTACCAATTTTTACCTCAACCATGCATGGAGTAACACACCATTAGAACCAGTCTCAGGCTACAACCATGGAAGACAACATATGAACCATACATGTGGGAGAAGATATGAACGAAGCTCTTTGTGGGACAAGCTGACAGCAAACTTGACGGTGCCCCTAAGATACAGCCTGCAACAACAACATAACCAATGCACATGTCAGAAACCATGGTCGTATGGTGCCCATTTTTTGTTGGAGTGGAGGAGGTTTGGCCATGTTGTATACCTCAAATCTGAATGGCCACACACACTCATATGCATGCACACAGACTCCAAAAACAAACGTACCAACCAAGTTTGAGGTTCCAACCATGACATAGAGGATACAAAACCATACCTGGGGTGTTCCTCCGACAAGATATCAAGCAAGGTGTAGGTGGGACAAGGTCACACCGAAGTTGATGGTCGTTGGCGAAGATCCAGTCTACAACACAAATACAAACAAATGAACCTCACGTATGGCAAACCATGGATCCATGTTTATGGGGCTCCAAACAGGGGCGCAACCACAAGGCCCACCCTTGCCGCCTGAGATTGCCATGCAGAGGTTGTCGTGGAGCTGTTTTTGGGCTCCTACCATGCGCCATGCAGAGATTATCGTCGCCATGCATAGCTAATTATGGAGGGGGATTATGGACCTCCTCTCATGCATCCACACGATTGCAGATGCACCCATGAGGCCCACCATGGCGGCCGGAGAGGTGCCCACCGGAGGAGAGTTTGGCGCAAGAACGATGAGGCTATCATGATTGAAAGGAAAGGAGACGCTTACCTATGGTTCCAAGGAGCTCTAATGAAGACAGAAGTTGGAGAAGACGAGGATCCTAAACACGCTCACGAAGGCAACTCAAAACTCAGTGCAACTGACAGAGGCTAACTGAGAACACGACTCATAGGGGCTAATTGAGAACATAGTAGGGTGTTGTTCCCTTTCCCGAAAGAAAGAGAAAGATCCCGAGAAAAAGGAAGTAGGCTTCGGTTCAATCTGGGATCAAACTATCCTCTTTTCTTTGACTGTGTCAAGCCGGTTCTCTGATTCGTGGGAGACTCTTGTGAAGTAAAGAATGTTTTCGAATCGAAGTCCCACTCCAAGCTTTGGCATATGGAATAGAGTCTTTTAGCTAGTCTTATGAGACTAGCTTTGCTTTATAGAGTACAATAACTTTCTCTATCAGTTGTAACTAGAGAAGAAAGAATAAGTCCTACAACTACGGGCTTTGGTTCAAGTTCTATCAGCTGTGAACACGTGAAGTTGGCTATATAGACCGTGACCTCTGCATGTACAGCCTGTGACTTCTGTTCATGACTTACCTCTCCTTTGGATGCACCTGACCTTGGAGCAGAAGAACATGCATGAATAGCACGAGAGAATCACCCACCACGAGATCCATGACAGAACGAGGGAGGGCAACTTCATCTTTTGCCTCTTTCGACGTGGCTTTCCTATTCTTTCTTCCCACATGAGAGAGGGAGGAGCTTGAAGGGAGCCCCAATTTTCTCTTCTTTTTCTTCTGCGCAAATCCATTTATTCAAACACAAATTCTCCTTCTTTTCTATCAATGTAAACAGTCTTTCGTCTCAATCAAACAAGGTGTTAGGGTCCACAGATAAAAAGGAAAGTGAAAGAAAGTAAAAAAAAAAAGTAAAATTAAATAGTGTGAAAAATATAATTTTTTGTTTAAATAAAAAAAATACATGAAAGAAAAAAACCCTTAAATAATAAAATTAAATTAAAATTAAATATCTATTTAATTATAAATTATCTATATAATTATTAATTAATTTTTATGAACAAAATATATTTCCAATTTAACATATTTAAATATATATATATATATATATATATATATATATATATTCAATGATATATACTTTAATATATAATTATGAAATTATATATTTTTTAAAATATTTAAATTTAAATCAATAAAATTATATCATATTATAAAAAATAAAAAATATTAAATTATTTATATAATTATTAGCGTATTTTTTTATTTCTATCAAAATAATATATATATATATATATATATATATATATATATTTCCCACCAAAAATTCCTCTAAAACTAATATCTCCCATTAAAACCTGAAGTGGTTGTTAAAATGTTCATTATAATGAATTTTACTATGCAAGAAAACTTCATAATGAAGTTTTCCTCCTGCACAATAAAATTTTTCTTATATATATGCATACGAAACGGGGAGGAAGCGTAATCTAAATTTTTCTCTTATCTTTCTCCTTCTTTTGTCTAAATTTCAAGCAACGATACTCTACTCGTGTAGGATCCGGTGAAACAGGAGAGAGTTTGAATTAAGTGAGAAAGTTTCGGTAGAAATACCACACTAGGTAAGGGAAAGTTTAATTCATTCAATATATGAAATTGAATTGTTGGGTACTCTGTGAATAAGGAATAGGAGTAGAGATATGAATTATTTGAATGTCTGATTTTGAAGAATTTATAATTCGATGAACTGCTCACTCGTTTGAAACTTTTTGAAATTATTAAAATTAAGGATGAATTATATGGTAAAATTGTTGTTTTCAACTTAAATTAGATATAATTCATGTTTAATTTCCATTTGAAACTAGTTTGGTTGCTCGAAACTTGGAAATTAGAAATTGGAAATCTGGAAAAATCTGGCATGGTTATTGGGTGAAGGAAGAAGAAAGGGATATGGTGGGGATTTTTAAAAAGGGTAAAATAGTTATTTTACATCCTAGGGACATAAATGGAATTTTCAAAAATGTTTAAGGGTAAAATAGTCATTTTCGGGACATGGAAGGAATTTTCGAAAATGTCCAAGGGCAAAATAGTTATTTTTAGGACATGGAAGGAATTTTTGGAAATGTCCAAGGGTAAATTAGTCATTTAGGGACACATGGAATTTTAAGAAAAGATTAAGGGTAAAATAGTAATTTAATGATTTTGGAAATTATTTCGAAATATATATATATATATATATATATATATATATATATATATATATATATATATATATAATATAGAATGAAAGTAGCAGCTTTAAAGAATCAGCAGTGTGTTGTGACGTGTGTGGGTCAGACTGAGCCTGAGGGCTGATGCCCAGAATCATTCATGAGACGTTATATATTGGCTAGACTGAGTCGGAGGATTGGTGCCCAGAATCAGTCAAATACTATTATTTATTGACCCAAATGAGCCGTGAGGACATGTGGCCAGAATTCAACATATGTGAATGATTTTTGTTGTCTTTGAATGGTGTCTGGGGTGGTACAGAGTACATTAGTGTAATAACTATGTTGGAGGATTCTGAATGAGGTCCTAGACTTCACTGATTGGTCGGGTCAGGTAGACTACGAGATCAGGTGGTGAGAAGTCGATGGGGGATGACTGGTGGCGCGCTCGGAGGGGTACTCCAGTATTAGTGATCAAGGGCGCCATTAATCCTACTCTGTGTGGAGGATGGTCAGATTGGTACTGCGGGTGTCGATCACAATGTGCCCATAGATGATAGCCTCTGAGTTCGGGCATAGTTAGGGTATACTTCCGAAAGGTGTCTTAGTGTGTTGATGATTTTGTAATTGATCATAATATATAATTATTACTTATATATCTGTTTTATTATATCGAATGATTTAATACTTACTCGTATTTTTTTCATTTGGATGAGACTACGATGATCACTTTTATGTGGGAGTAGATAAGGAGTTGAGAGGTGGAGATGTGACTACTTGGACAACGAGGGATAGTTCAGTGGAATAGCTTTGTGGGAGCTACTTTTACATGTATAATATATAAATAAATTATGTTACTATGTTTTTAGGTTCAGTTAATGAAGCGAAATTTCAATCTATGTTACAATTATAATAATATAATGTAAGATAAATGTCATTATTTACTTGTTTACTATTTTGCGAAGATATCGAGTATAGTAGCGATTTACGGGACCGTTAGATAAATAAAATTCAACACTTCTTATTTATGTATATAAAAATATCTTATTTACATTTCTAAATATAATTACAAATTTTTAAGATACACCTGGGTGATACATTCTCTATTACTACCATCAAACTCATCAGTTCCTTTGGCAAGTTACAAGCATAAGAATGAAGAATATAAATATATCTTATTTACATTTCCAAATATAATTACAAATTTTTAAGATAAACCTGGGTGATACATTCTCTATTACTACCATCAAACTCATCAGTTTGTAAGGTTACTATACAAAATGATTTTAAAGAATAACAATAAAATCAAACTATCCGTGCGTGAATTGAAAAAAAAAAACAAAAAACAAAAAACTCTTACTCTTATATCTCACTCCATTGTTTTTTATGTTTGAAGAGAAACAACTTGTTAAAACTTATAATAAAATATAATTTTAGTCTAAAACTTTAGAAATATAAATTATATTATATGTAAAAATATTATTTGCATGTAGAAGCATGTAAAATGGGAGGTAGAATATGTTTTTCATTTTATAATTTTCAGTTCCTTTTCTTAACTACATATAAGCTGTTAGAAAAAGTAATATTAAAATAATTGTTTTATTTAAATTTTTGCTGAATTTAAATACGATAAAATGTTGACCAGATTTAGAATTAATTAAGTCAACCACTAATGAAGAGTAGTTAATAAAGTAAGTTTAAATATTATATTAAGTATTTTTAAAATAATAAACAATTACAAATTAAGAAAAGGTAATCACGTTTCTCACTAGTGCTTTGCTTTTATTTCTTTATGTTTCCCATGGAGACCAGCTGGTCTTCCTCATGGAAGTTTCAGAGAAAAAGTTAGTGTAAACCCTAAGGCGTGCAATGACCACTGTTGAGTCAATTTGCCAACTAAAATAGTCCCCCATTATATATTATGGCTATGAATAATGGTCAAGTTTTTTTCAATTTTTTTATGCACACGTGTACCTAATTCGATTAAAATATATCAACTTATTGCTAGGGTAATACTATATGAGAATTCTTATGTCAAATCTCTCAACTTTATTATATACAGCAATCAAGGTCATGGAGAAACTAAAAAAAAAAAAAACTAATATCTAAGTTTTATAAATCATAGAGTTTTTATTAAAAAATTTAATTGGAAATGTGAAAAAAAAATTATTTTATAATCCAATTTTGAGTCCATTAATCGATTTTGAAGAGGAAATTGTTTAAAAACTGTACCTAACTAAGATACTTAAAAATATTTTCAATATTCTATAAATTGATTATTATAAAGATAATATTTAACTATTTTATTATTTATGTTTTATCTCCAACATAATAATCATAACAAATTATTTGTAAAGGTAATTGTGGATATAATATTATCCTCAAAAATAAGGCTTCTGAGTTTATATAATATTTTTTTATTAATTTTAATTTATATTTACCTTTTAAAAACTATTTTATATTATTCTCTTAGGATCCGCAGATAGAAAGGAAAGTGAAAGAAAGTAAAAAAAAAAAATTAAATAGTGTGAAAAATATAATTGTTTGTTTAAATAAAAAAATACATGAAAGAAAAAAAACCCTTAAATAATAAAATTAAATTAAATTAAATATCTATTTAATTATAAATTATCTATATAATTATTAATTAATTTTTATGAACAAAATATATTTCCAATTTAACATATTTAAATTTATATATATATATATATATATATTCAATGATATATACTTTAATATATAATTATGAAATTATATATTTTTTAAAATATTTAAATTTAAATCAATAAAATTATATCATATTATAAAAAATAAAAAAAATATTAAATTATTTATATAATTATTAGCGTATTTTTTTATATTTCTATCAAAATAATATATATATATATATATATATATATATATATATATATATATATATTTCCCACCAAAAATTCCTCTAAAAGTAATATCTCCCATTAAAACTGAAATGGTTGTTAAAATGTTCATTATAATGAATTTTTTCTAAGGACTACAATAAATAGGATTAAATCTGTATTTTCTTCAAACTAAAAGATAATATATATTTTTTAATGTCTCTTTTCTTTTCTTTTTTCTTTTTACATTACCATTGATGGGTTGATGTATTCACCTTGTTTCTTCAATTATTGGATGGATACAATTTACAACAACAAAAAAGAAGTTGAAAGCTAGCACCTGTACTCAAATACCAAACCATATGCTTTGTATACTTAGATTGCTACTTCTTGACCAAGATTTGGTTTCAGGATAAACATTTATATGCTAGAAAATAAGAAAGTAAGAAACATCAATATTTTAGCTTGATATTCAACATAATCATTCAAACCTTCATATGTAACTTAAATAAAGAGAACTTTTTTTTTAATAAAAGAAATATCAGAATTTAACATTGGATTCCCATATTTATATTGAAAGGAAATTAGTTCAACATCCTTCTTCTTTTGAACATACCACGTTATGCTTAACAAAGGTCTCAGTACTTTTTTCCTCCTCCAAATACGTACGCAATAAATTGAAGGAAAATATCCCAAAGTTGGTATTGTACTGGATTCGCTGCCCCACTTGAGCTACCGCTATCATGTCAGTCAAAATAAAGATGATGTCATAATTTGGAAGTTGGAATTATTTTAACTAAAAAATACGATACACTAAAATCACATTTTATTAATTTAGACATTTTGTTAAACACCACATATACTATTCATGCATTATGCATTGTAAATCCTATAATTCTAACAATCACTAAGATATTTTTTATGCTTTCAAATTCTAAATCATATACGGAAATCGGGTACGTACATAACAAAGACAGAAAATGATCGTGGACACTAAATTTTGGTCAATTTTTTTTTTAAATTTGACCTGAATTCTTCCCCTCTCCACACCCACCTATTTAATCTTCCTTCCAAGCAAACAAAATTCTAACTCTTCTACCGACATTTTCTCCCTCTGAAACAAATTTCTTCTCCATTCCTATTTTTACAAGCACCCTCTCCCTCATTTATAAAGACATTTGCCTCCACAACTTTCGTTTTCTGGGCAAGAGTATATATATATATATATATATATATATATATATATATATATATATATATATATATATATATATATATATATATATCTTTAAAACCTGTCCTTCAACAACCACCCTCAACTCATGGCTCTTCCCAAAATAATATTTCATTTCCCCCATCTTACTTTTTGAACACCATCTCATCTCTAAAAGCCAATTTTGATTAACATGATTGCTTTGATTAAAGCAACTCTACCACCGTGAGAGACATATTCAATCTTTGCCTGACCCCATCTACTACAGACTTTCATGTACTCAATTGATGAGGGTTCGCTCAATCTCTATCAAGAAGGACCAATTATTTGAAAGTCATCTGACCAATCCTAAGAGTAGGTACATTTCGCTGCCTTTTCCCTAGCAATTAGGTCATGAAAAAACTCATCTTTTTTAATCCATAAGCTAATTCAGACAGCTGCAAAATTGTTTTTATTGTCATCCACATATTCCCTCAACTTTACATTCACCACGGGTGTCATCTTCTATATAAATGTAGTACTATTTAGTTCTGATTAAACCGTCCGTGGCTACTTAAAGTACCTAATATTTGGAAAGCAAAAAAATGCAATACCCTTATCAACACATATAAGTTAACATTGTTTGTAGTATACTAGTCCAAGAAGACCATCTTTTCTAACACAATACCAAATAAAAGTAGCTTAGGTATTCAAAGAAAACCTGTTTCTAGTCGCTTCAATTCTAGCATTTCCAAGATTTTGTACGCCCTTCCTTCTGTTAATGAACGCCTCCGAAATCCCATCATCAGCGCTGATTGTCGCCCCAGAAGCGTTTTGTTCGGCTTCATCTTCATTAATGAATGCGCCATGAATACCTCTGGGCCTGCACAAATATTTTGTTAATTTTGAGTTGAGACCATTCATTTATTAGTGAGGTAATTAAAATCAAAATAAGATTATAAACAACCACTTTGATTCCTTCATTTGTTAAGCCAAACAAACACCATTAAATATACTCTAGTTGTTGACAGTTCAAAACAAATAAACAAACTTAATTTCTATCATGGGAATTTACATTAGATACAGCATATGACACACAATAGTGATCGACATCATAAGCCCAATGTCCTTTGAGTCAACATAATCAACTGTAACTCATAGGCTTCATCAGGTCAACTCGTCAACGAATAAATCGTATTCTGGTGTGCCTACTGTACGGAATATCTGACATTAATAATTTTTGGTCTGGGCTTAACTTTTAGGGTTTAATAAGAGTTAATTAAATATAAAATTATAATTTTAACACACAATAAATCTCAAACTTATCCTATATCTTCTACTTTTATTCTGTTGTTCTAAGTTTTCTTATCCAAACAAAATTCCAGATCTGCCTTCAGAATTAGAGCTCGTGTGCACAAGACTCGGTGAGACTGAAACCATATATATATATATATATATATATATATATATATATATATATATATATATATATATATATATATATATATATATATATATATATATATATATATATATATATATATATATATACATATGAATTGATATAATTTGGACTATAGAAATAAATACCATTTCCTCTTCACTTCTCTGAAATTCAACTTATCCATCACGTTTTAAGTAACTAAAAGACTTGGAATCTAAAAAGTAGAAGAGATTTGCTTGTTTTAACTTTGGAATATAGAAACAAAGAATAAAAATGGGATATGCATACCTTGTTAGATTACGTACAACCGGCCACATCAAAGAACCCAACAAGACAGCCAACAGAACACAGACTAGGAGAATGGGATCGACGACCGGAGTTTGCATCTTAAACAAGTAAACGATAGTAAGTTTAATGAGAAGAATGATAAAGTAGGCGTGGGTTTATAAAGATCGAGAGGTGCACAAATAGAATTTGGTATCTAAGCAAAAGAGTTACTTTTAAAAAAAATATTGAAAACCTTTTTATTTTTTTTATTAAAACGATAAAGGATGCAGGACATATAACAATTCACGTGGTAAATGAGTATTGAAAAAATATATATTTACCATTTCAAATGTGGTTATACATGATAACTTACGAAATCCTCTCTATTACATGACTCTCTATTGGTATGAGAAAGAGAATAGTGTCTGGTTTGAACGGTGCATGCATTTTCTGTTCATAAAAGGCTCTTTTTTTATACATCTAGCATCCTAATTTTACAACCAAACTCGTAAAATAGTAAGAAGAAGCTTTAATTTACTAGCGATTAGTTATAGCATTTGTAATGAAGATTATTAATTTTATTGACAAGTCTACAACAAACAACTATAAAAGGCTTTATATTTAAAAAGAGCACTTGACCACCCCAATATCTAATCAACACCTAAACATATTCATATAATAAGAAATATTATTATTATTATTATATTAGCATATTCAATTGCATGTGAATATTTAGGTTGTTTATAAAACATTTCCAATCTGAAAAACAAAACGTTCAGAGGAGAGAGAAAATTTGGTTTTTTACCTAATTCTAATTCTAATTCTATACTTTTCTTTTTGTTTTTATATGTATGTTCTATTATCTTGTTAAAACCTATTTAATTAATAGTAGTGTGAAATAAAAAATTAATTTATTCGAAAACAACAAATTATTAACATTGTATCTATCGTGGTAGTATAATATTTGACGCATATATTATAAAGCAATAATGTTTGAAGTCAATTTCTCAGTCACTTCAAGTTGTACATGGTAACAATTATATCATTTTCATATGATGTGATTGAGAATTGTTTAAATTGTTTTTACCCTTTTATCTCTCACAAAGAAAAGCATGTCTATTTGGATGGGTAAGTCCACGCATTCACATTTGTAAAAGAGAAATGATATTTTAAGACTCCAAAAATATATAATTCTCAAAAATAACCCTTTTTAATATTATAGTATACTAATTTTAATTTATTTTCATTTTTATTGAATTATTTTATAATTATTATATTAATAAAAGTTGATTTTTTAAGGGTTGTATGTTTCTTGATTGTGAAAATATCACTTCATGAGCATTTGAACTTTCGTGGCAAGTTGGAGATGCTATTATTGGGGGAGCATTTTTATACTTTTCAACGACAAAAAGTTGGAAGCCAGAGTGGTGGATTATGAATGTCGCGTTACTTTAAACATGACTACAAAATTTTAATGCTTTATTTTGGAAATATGTGCGTGACTATTCAAAAATATTTGAACAGTAAATAAATGAGAGAGGGGATCAAAGTCATCAGATTATTATATTTTAATCTTCAAACTACCCTCAATTACACTCAATCACCCTCAAACAAGTGCAGTTATGCTCATTGATTCAAAAAGATTAATTAAACTTTCATCCAAAGCTAATTGTGAAGTAAATTATATAAAAGTAAATTAAAGAAATGATCATTTTAGATTGAGAAGTAAATTAGTAAAAGGAATTGTGTAACTCAATTATAGTTTTAATCTTGTGAGTTAAAATATAAAGAAAAAATTACACTTACCTCACTAAAGGTAATAATATTAAATGATATTTACATCTTTTATAATTTTAAAATATATATTCACAGTAAAAAAAATTTATATTTTTATCATATAAATGTTTTTTATGTATATTTATTTATTTTATAACTATTAAGAAAAAATTAAGATTTTTTAAAAGATGATAATTTCTTAATTACTCAATTCAATTATCTATTTGACCTAACCTAAATTAATTTTATTATATCGAAAAGTAGATTAAATTGGATTAACCCAACCTATGTATATCTTTAATATAATTAAATAAGAACAAATAAAACAAATAATAACACTCTTACATCATTTTCCTCTTTCTTTTGGTTTAGACTCCTTTTCAAATGGAATTTCCGAAGACAACAAAAAGTTTCTTTGAAAGTCTATTCAACTGATATTGGACTTAGAATAAATATTATTAGAAAAATTTATCATTATATGTGATTATTTATCTCATAAAAATAACTAATAAATAATTGTATTCGTTGATCTAGAATTTTAAACTTTAATAATCTTATTTATAAGTCGATCTTAATCCTATTATAGTGTGAACCTTACCACTTGTGCAATGGGAGGAAGCCTTCAAACAATTAGAATAATCAGTTGCTATCGACGGAATTTTTTCTGGAAAAAAATTTTTTTTGAAGGCCGGAATTTGGGCCGTAGACGAATTATTAACTGTGTTTTTGTGTCGTTTTACCGGAAAATTGCTTGAAATTCGACACTCCTAAAGCAGAATTTGTAATGACCCTAGAAATCGCTACTATAATGATGTTTTCGCAAAGTAGTAAACAAGTAAATAACAACATTGATTTTACATTATATTACTATAATTGTAACATATATTGAAATTCCAGCTTACTAACTAACTTCAAAATATAATAACATCATTTATTTATACATTATACATGTAACGATAGCTCCTCGAAGCTATCCCACCGAACTATCCCCGTCGTCCAGTAGTCACATCACCATCTCTCAACTCCCGATCCGCTCCCACATAAAAGTGATCATCGCAGACTCCATCCACATGGAAAAATAGGGTAAGTATTAAATCATTCGATATAATAAAACAGATATAGAATTATATATTATGATCAATTACGAAATTATCAACACACTAAGACACCTTCCTGAAGTATACCCTAACTATGCCCGAACTCGCAGGCTATCATCTATGGGCACATCGTGATCGGCACTCGCAGCACTCATTCTCGACCACCCTCCACATAGAGTAGGATTACCGGCGCCCTTCATCACTCATACCGGAGTACCCTCCGAGCGCGCCACCGCTCATCCCCCCATCGACTTCTCACCACCTCGATCTCGTAGTCTACCCGACCCGACCAATCGCTGAAGTCTCGGGACCTCATTCGTAATCCTCCGACATAGTTATTACACTAATGTACTCGTACCACCCCGGGTACCATTCAAACATACAAAATTTATTCACATTTGCCGGATTCTCGACCACCTGTCCTCACGGCTCATTCGAGTCAATAAAATAGTATTTGACCGATTCTCGGCACCAACCTTTCCGGCTCAGCCTAGCCAATATATAACGCCTCAGACCGATTCTCGGCATCGCCCTCAGCTCGGCCTCGACCCACACACGTCACAACACTCAACTTTCATTCTCTCTCTCTTTATATATATATATATATATATATATATATATATATATATATATATATTTCCTAAAATCATTTCCGAAATCATTAAATTACTATTTTGCCCTTGATCTTTTAAAAATCCCCACCATATCCCTTTCTTCTTCCTTCTCTCGCTCAAGCGAGTACACCTGGCCGCTGAGCGATATGGAACCCGAGAGTCCCTTTGTTTGAAGGCTTCGTCGCTCAAGCGAGTACACAGTCGCTTGAGCGAGACATGACCCGAGAGTCCCTTTGATTGAGGCTTCGTCGCTCAAGCGAGTACACCCGTCGCTTGAGCGAGACATGACCCGAGAGTCCCCTGTGTTTGAAGGCTTCGTCGCTCAAGCGAGTACAACAGTCGCTTGAGCGAGACATGACCCGAGGGTCACCTTTGTTTGAAGACTTTCATCGCTCAAGCGAGTACACCGGTCGCTTGAGCGAGACATGACCCGAGGGTCACCTTTGTTTGAAGCTTTCGTCGGTCAAGCGAGTACATCGGTCGCTTGAGCGAGACATGACCCGAGGGTCACATTTGTTTGAAGCTTTTGTCGCTCAAGCGAGTACATCGGTCGCTTGAGCGAGACATGACCCGAGGGTCACATTTGTTTGAAGCTTTCGTCGCTCAAGCGAGTACATCGGTCGCTTGAGCGAGAAAGAACCCGAGAATCCCAAATTTTCCAGGTATCCTCGCTCAAGCGACGTATTTTCGCTTGAGCGAATTTTGCAGGTTTTCCAGTTCGCCATTTTCGAATTCCAGATTTCAAATTTCTCAGTTTCAATCACCCAAATTAGTTCCCAATCAAAATTAAACCATAAACATGTTCAATTTAAGTTAAAAACAACACTTTTATTATATAATTCATCCTTAATTTCAAGAATTTCTAAAACTTTTAAACCGTGAACAGTTCATCAGAAATTCAGACATTCTTCAAAATCACACGTTCAAATAATTCATATCTCTACTCCTATTCCTTATTCACAGAGTACCCAACAATTCAATTTCATATATTGAATGAATTAAACTTCCCCTTACTTGGTATGGTATTTCTACCGAAGCTTTCCCACTTAATTCAGGTTCTCTCCCGTTTCACTCGCATCCCGCACGAGTAGAGTCTCGTTGCTTGAAATTTAGACAATAGAAGAAGAAGGATGAGAGGAAAATTTTGATTCTCCTCCTCCCCCGCTTCGTATTCATATATAAGAAAAATTTTATCTGTGCATGAGGAAAACTTCGTTACGAAGTTTTCTTGCACAAGAATATTAATATAATATTAAAATAAGGCATACGTCACAATCTCCCTCCACAAAAATTTTCGTCCTCGAAAATGAACTTACTTGGAAATAGATATGGATAAGACTCTCGCATCTCGATCCTCCATCTCCCAAGTGAAGTCTCCGGATTTCCGATCCCATACTACCTTCACCATCGAGATAGTTCTACCTCTAAGTCGCTTCAACTCGAGAATCCTCTATCCTCACCGGTCTCACATCAACTGGAGAGATTGTCTCTAATCTCGCACATTGTTCGACTCCGTGACATGACTCGGGGTCATGTACATATTTCCTCAACCGAGATACATGAAATACATTGTGCAGATTCGCCAAATGAGGTGGCAACGCTAACCGATATGCCACCGGACCTACCTTCTTC